TGTGCACTTGTACAGGTGGAGTGAACTGCCAATCTAGGACTGTTGCTTAGATTTGAGTGAGCAGGTGTGTACCGGTTGAACTCAGTGGCTGAACAAAAGTTGGGAAAACCGCAAGAGGTAATTTAAAAACAGATGTGGGGCCACAAGGGGAGAGTGCTCCTCAGNCAAGAGGTAATTTAAAAACAGATGTGGGGCCATAAGGTGAGAGTTGCTCCTCAGAGAGTGTATGTCATCGGTCCTTATTGATGATCGGAAGAGGCTGAACAATTCTTGGGTTATGAAGAATTTTACACGGATCAAGGGCCACCCAAGCTATCCTATAAGAACGAGTGAAAGAAAATTTGCCGAGAAACTAAAACACCTTGGTTTTCCGTTCGCACAAGTTTGGCCGTATGACACTTTGTCCAATCCTCATGTGAGAAAACATCTTCAAAGCGAACTGTGAGAGAGGATAAAAGGAAAACCTATCGAATTTAGTTGACGACCCACGGATAATTCCCTTCAGCTAGCAATTCTATACATTCTTGTCTGATGCCCACTAGCTCAAAGTGGTGAACTTGAATCATGCTCATCAACCGCAGTCTTTTGAAGGTCATCTCACAATCCGAACGCTCATCATGAGGTTAGCGTGATAACAAACTGTCAGGAAGGTCAGGTTCCTGTAAATAAGCCCAGAATGTCTGAAACCCCATCAAAATCAGAGTACGGTGGCAAGGAAAGCCAGCCTCCAATCGAACGTTCAAACAATCGATCAATTCAGCAACGGTCGATGAGTGTTCAGGCACATCACAGAAGGACGGCCGACGATGATCAGTGTTTTGGCGTTTTACAGAGGCAAGACCGACTGTGATAAGCGTTAAGATACGTCAAAGTGCCCTCTTTGTAACCTTTGCACTCGGTTGTTTGCAATGAATCTGTTGCGTTTCTTGTTGGTGAGTCTTTTACAACACTAAGGCAGTGGAGCTGGGTAACGGTTAGTTACAACACGAACCCAATAAGGAATTCAATAAGTATAGATTTATTGTGCACTGCTGCGCTCTATTTTGAGGCTTCGTTAAATTCAGTCCGTACTACTACTTCGATTGATTCCACAGAAAAATCTAGTTCGTGTCAGCCAGGTCACGTGAGGTCTGATCAAAACGAATTCAAGCCCTGCTGTGCGTATGACATCAGCGACTTGAACGATGGGTGACAACTGAATATGGATTGATAATTGGGGGACGGAGGCCGCCGGAGTTCATCAATCCACAGAATGGACTTTACGAACTTAGTGAATTTTGATGAGTCGTCTCTGGGCCAGTCTTGGAGTTGGTAGGAGAGTCCGGTTACTGTTGGCGGTCGTCAAAATGCAAAAGCTGTTTAAAATCTCGGTCGGTTCTAGTGAGTAAAAGAGCGTTGTGGCGTCTTTCATGTTTTCGATATGGAAGGTCTATATTCCATCATCGTGTAAGCATTAAATGCTAGTCTGTACATGTATGAATATTCAGCTTTTTAAACAGTACCGCATCGTAGATAAGCACAAATACATTGATTCTCTTCATAAACCATCACAAACCGATCCACTGTAGTTTAGATTAATCTGATGGATCCGGTTTGTGGCTAAATTTCACAAGAATTTCATCCGGCTTGTTATGGTGAGGAGATTCCATGTGCTTTCAAGCGAGTGGCTCATACAAGCGGAACGTTCCTGACTTGCGCCAGGCAAAATATTCGCACGACAGAGATCAATCGATTTCTTTCCAGCTGCTTCTTTCCTGAAGTTCGGTTTTATCGTAATTCAGTAAGTTTTGGCTTGAGTTTTCTCCATACGTTTCTCAATGAAACGGTCTGTTATCCTCTCCCTGGTCTACGGTGGGCAGCCTCACCTCTAATTATTCCATTACGCATGCAATACGTATAGGTGGAAGAGGACCCAAGCTGTCCTAGGTGACTCCGTGCCTCAGGTGTCTCAGTGGATGCTTTAAATGAGGGTGGTTTTCTTCAAAGTTCCTTGAACTTCATGTAGAAATCGAGCTTTGTTATATAGATTTTCAATACTAATATTCTAAGCTCGAACCCTGGTTGTTGTAACCTGAAGGACCCTGGTTCGTGTCATTCACATTGTGATGCTTCCTTCTGTAGTGTAACTATAGGAACTGAGGAGTTTATTCTACTTGCTCTTAGATATTTACTTTAGGGTGGGGCCAACAGTAGAGTAAGTTTTGCGAGTGAGATTCACCACAGCTGTGGTGGTTTTGCCTAGTTCAAGTGTCAGGTGTTGCATCAAACAACGGCTTTAGCGCTTCCTTATATTGCTCATTTCATCAAGCCAACCACTTCTTTGTTCACGGTAACTCAATAGAGTTAACCACACTGCTGCTCAGTCACTCGTGGCCAAATGGTTGTGCTCAACCACTGGCCAGAAGGTTGCGGGTTCGAGAGTCTCCAGAAATTCGTGAGATTCGCACTGCCGATGGCTCTGAAGAAAGATGGAGCAACCGTACAGTGCTTCTCAGCATAGACTGACGTCAATGACAGGATGAAAACTCCGTTTAACACTCTTTTTTGAGCTTTTCTAGCCACCACTTAAAGCGTTCCTCACTAACCAAGATTGATTATATAGCAACCATATGGACAATACTCAGTCAACGATTCCACGAAAATGGAAAACTCAAGGTAAAACCAGTAAGCAAAAGCTACACACATTTACGGTTGAATGGTGAACACAACGAGGTGAGGCTTGGACTTGAACCTAGAGTTTAATGCCCTATGTGTCGTTCAGCTGTAGCACCCTTTCGGTGCCTAGCTGCCATGCCACACGAGGAGGCACGAGGGCTGGGATACTGCCAGGTCGTCCAAGCCTAGACAGAGGAAGTCGAATGCCAGGGGTCGGGTTCGAACCACGGATCTCACGGTCAGTAAATTCGCGCTTTAACCACTTGGTCCTACTCGCCCATTGAACGATCTCATGCCCTATTAATACCAAGCTAAAGTTCAGTTCCCACTAAGTTTGAAATAGTTCCAATATGCAATAACCCAAATTGTTGACTCTCAGCAGGAACTCGTACGCTGGAGTCATCTACAAAATTTCCGGGCAGGGAACTTGCTATCGTTAATTCTGAACGGAAGTAAAAGTCATTGAGTGCAACAGATATGAGCGTGATGTTATAAGACATGTGGTGATGAAAAGTACAAACAGTAACAAAGCCATAGAAACTCGAATCCCGACAATACTTGTGGCCATATTGGGTTACGATAATGTAGACATATCGGGGTCATAAAAATACCCCTTTATCAAAAGCCCGATTCATTGAGAACGGACATAACTCATAGTATCAGGGCTCAAGCACATCACTCTTCATGTTTGTTTATGTGGGCCACCAAAGGGTCAACTGGTCAAACTCAGTTGTTATCGATTTGCAGAAGCCTTCTCGAAGCCGGTCATTTCATTTATATCAACTCAACGTTTTCCACCGTACTGCGATGTAATCGATCGGTACCACTGAGACTCTATTGATCAGTCGCTATAGACTAAGTCAAGCCTACTTTAGGTTCTGTGAATAAGTGACCATCACTCAACATTATGCCAGATCAATAATCAGCGCGCTTGGCAGCATTTGTTCGTTCAGGCACTTGGACAACCTTGCATATGTTACTGTTTGAAATGGTTCCATGTCACAAATCACGTCTTTTCGAAAGCTTATCTACCCCGGCGAAAATGGATTCTTGAAGGACCTTGCATTTTTCTTACTTAGTGGAAACGGATCACTGGAAAATGGGCAGGGGTTTTTTGGGCAACAGAAATACCCAGTTAGCTTTCCCAGGCTGTTGGGATGCAACCAAACCCAAATAGTGATGGTGACATCAACCATATCCGGTGCCTGTATTACTGAACAAATCCTTCCTCATAAATCTGGTATCGTTCAGCTGAATAGATCTGCAGGAGTGGAATCAAACCGAACCTCTAGTCTACTGTGCCTTTGAGGGATTCTCAGGGTGAACTTCTAGTCATCAGTGCTTTCCCCACGACCACTTGATTCGATGTTTCCCTCACTTAACTCAAGTCACTCAACTGAGAGTGAATTATGCAGCAGCCGTCGGTGTCAGTGCTACTTAATTTTGGCCTTGATATCGTAACGTGTGGTCCGTGACTGCTTCCGTCGGTCTTCTGATACTTTCCACCCTCCATCAAGGTGTTCCTCCATCAATCCGTTTTCAGAAGCATTGATCAGTCGAAGGAGAGGAAGCTTTTTACCACCTAACTCCAAAGCTGGAACCAAGCAAATGCGAACTCTTCCGACTGTACTCTGTAAAAAAAGAATTCACTGACAGAGCGTCCTTGACGTTGACTGACAGCCAGCGTCTCCAACCATGCACGGTGAGGATAATGTGTTCCCGATCCTGAAAGGTGAGTCACACCGACAACTTTCATACCCGTTTAAGGATATCGTCTACGTAGTTGTGGGCATTCAAACAATATATTTTATCAGTGATACATCAGTTTGCCAGGGCAAGTTTAGACCCACGGATGCAATATCGTGGTGAACCATCGTGTGAGTCGGATTCACGGTATCTCTTGATCTTCCCTCAAGATGAAACATGTAATAGTCGAGTGAAAAATCTGTATCGCAATGTAGCAGAGTACCGTCGAATAAGAGGCTACGAATTCCTGCCTAGCCCACATGAGAGTTACCTATTCAGGTTCCCTGTTGCACTCTTGGTTAGCTCTATGAAGCTACCATCGTATAGCTTCTCCATCAGGCCATCTTTTAAGAGGTCAGAACTTGAACTCAACTTAAGGTTTTTCACTGAACCGAGGTTGGTCTTAGCTAGTTTTAAGCATAAGTTGATACCCGCTGAATACCATTAGATATTCAAAGCACAAAGCCAACAAACGTAGTTTTCAAGTAGTAAAACAAATCTTTAAATAAGTAATAGGAGACAGCTGAAACAATGGACTTGAAATAATAGGATTGCATCTGAAGTCGAGTGGATCGGAGAACTCTTGTTTTTCTGGGGATTCAATGAGGAATAACAAGACTGTGTGGACCATTGCTGTCTCGGAATAGACTGCAGTTTAACCAAGTGTGTGATAGTTTCGGAGTTGAGGAGGGTTGGGGCGGAGAACTAAGTCCTTTCAGCGCGCAGAGACCATTGGAACCAGTGCACTGAACCAGGTGCTTGTTTAACAACCCCATGCGAGAAAATGACCTTGGACAGTGGTGACAGCTGTAACGTTTCTCGCGCTGGTGTGTCTGCATGTGAGCCCGCAGATTTGACCGGTCTGCGAAAGACCGGCTACAAACAGTGCAGGCATAGGGACGTTCTCCTGTATGCGTGCGTTCGTGACCCTTGAGCAGCCATTTGCGGGAGAATGATTTACCACAATGAGCGCACCGGCAAGGCAAAGTGTGAGTGCGGACGTGCATTTTCAAGGCTGATGCTTGATTGTAAGTTTTACTGCAGAGTTTACAACGATAAGTCTGTTGAAGTGGATCGTCTTTGGGGAAAGAATCGCGTTCGTTTTTTTCTAATTTCATCGTCGAGACCTGTGTCGCCTGAATGTACGGGGCACGTCGCAAAGCCTTCTCTCCGAAACCAGTCCCCAATGCAGCCTTTGAAGGCTTTGTTGGAGATGAGCTGGAAGAAGATTCACCGGGTTGAAATGAACCCCATTGTAGCCCACAAGTAGTTGATGCATGCCTCGAGGATGTGCCGTTCTCGAATGAGGAAGGGTCTGGTTGATGAGGTACTAAAGATGTTTGTGTGGTCGCGCACATCATACGAAGGTATGTCTGATAATATTGCTGCCTTAAGAGCAGCATATAGTATTGCTCCAGCTGTAACCTTTGGTATTGGTCCAGAAAAATCGGACTACACACTCCTCCGAGCTGGAAAGCTGTAGTCAGTAAGGGAAATAATGACATGGGATTTTGATGAAGGTCAATCGGATGCGAATGGGGGATGTCCATTGGGGTGGTGTGAATACCGACTTGGGAAATCTTTTGGAAGTCGACTTCCGAATTAGCTTTGAAGCCGGTGGTCTTCGTTGGTGATGATACATCTACCGACTTAATATGATCCATCCCGAATACATCCTGACTCGGATGCCGTTGGCGTAAGTCTGTTGGAGTGTGAAACTTGGTTGATTGTGGCTCCGTTGGACTTGAGTTAGTTGAAGGACTCGGTAAAGTACCAAACGTAATTTGGTCAGACTGGTTCAGGTCTGACGAAGTGTCCCATTTGTCTGTTGCACGGTTCAAGGTCAAATCTTGAACGGTGAAGACACCAGAAGCAGCAAGTTCAGCAGATGAGGCTTTGTCTTTATTAGTTGATGACGTCAGAGAGGTATTTGGGTCTGGCTGTTTCGCAGAAACTGTTGGGTCTGGAAGGCTATCGCTAGGGTTGTTTACAACACACGCACGAAGAAACTGATACAGCTGTTGTGGTGGTGGAACCCTCAGCAAGGAACTCGGGGTTGATGCAGAGGCAAAGGACTGGGCAAGGACTTGCTGCAAGTTCATCAATAGCTGACTTGGGCATGGATTTTTCTCTTCAACTGGGCGAATGACTTCCGAGGACAGGTGAGAGTTGATACCGTTTGTTGGCTTTGAAATAGAATAGTTTGTGGTATTGAGGGAAGATGGATGAAGCCATTCAGTATCACCGGGCTTCCAAGATTCGGTTGGCATTCTTGCGCGAATTCGACTTCAAATACTGAACGAAAAGGACAGCAGAAAAGAGGGAAAGAAATTATTAGTAATGCGATTGACATTAAAGTGGAGGAAACCTTCAACACTAGCGTTCAGGGGTCATTGGTTCATTCCTAAATGATTCAGCCCGGACTCGAAACCATGACAGGTAAAATGCCAGAAATAAAGCGTAAACCGTGAATTGTAATTGACATACCGATAATTTTGATCCGTTTCATTCTCTGGCCGAATTTCGATTTGCTTATTTGCTTTCTGAGGTTCCCTAAGTTTGTGGAAACGTGTATAAAACAATAATTCTGTCTAAAAAGAGTTTCTATGATAATTTCGGTAAATAGGAACCCAGAAAAGCTCATATTACATCTATTTCAGTGAGGATATCATTTATACATGTAGGTCTTTGTATCGGTGTTTGTACTCTATTGAGTCCTGTCAGTGGTATCTTTAGGTCTTCCATCCATAAGTGGAGGATGTGGGTCGAAAAACAAAAACAACGGCACAATTTATTCTCTCGGGATGCGATTTTTAAGGTATGACATTCGAAACGAACGGTAACTCACTGAGCACTACATTCTGGCTGTAATTTTGAGAACCGAAAGTCTTAACTACTATTAAGGAAATACCTCACAGGCAACCAAAATGTTCGTCCGGGCTACTTGTTAACGGTTCATACTACTGACGAATCGTATGAGTAGCATCTGATCTAATGTTGAAGCGCCGTTCCTGCATCTGATAAGAGATTCATACAGTAAGACTTCACAGTGCTTGTTCATCAATGTTTGATATTCAAAGTACGCCCTAAAAGTTAAATGGGACACTAGAAAGTGTAGGTTTCTTAAAAACTCTGTGTCTGATAGCTTGTAACCGCTTCGTTCGCAGTCGTCAGTAAAAAACTTTTCATTGAACGGCGCTAGTTCCTTCATCTGTACTGTGACATCGTCAACCCTGCACTGACGATGCCACCTCGATTGGTGATGAAACGTTTGCAATCCAACTGCCAAGCTCGGCGAACAGACCAACAACCAAGCAGCGCACCCGCGCTACCTACACTCCACGACATTGCTAATAAACGATGGCGTTGAACCACCGTCTGGTGCTCATAAATCAATCGCTGGCAGACTCACACAACTTTGCACCCATGTCGGAGAGAGTCGCGGCAGGTGACCTGGTTTTAGCCAAAGCCTGATAATTACGTTGCCCTTTGACCTTTGCCTGGGGTCACTGCTGTGGTCATGGTTACCACACCTAATTACTTTGACAGCGTCGAACTAAATTCGAACCAACATGACCTTCACGCCGTATCACCCCTTGTCTGTTGTGTGCGGGGGTGTATGGAAGCTGGGATGAATAATCAACCGTGTTTTCAATCAATCGGAAAAAGTTTGGAACCGACCGAGAAGTCAACGTTTCAAAAAGGCTTGATTAATAATCGGTAGTTTTAAGTTGGGCAACGTTTCGTTTTTGACACAAAAGCCTCATCAGGCCAAGTGAAGAGGTTATCAAGTTGGTGGGGTCTTAAGGCAGACGGAGAACCAGTCAGTAAGACATCTTCATATTAGCGCACTAAATCAGTGGTGGTGTCATTTAACGGCAATTATCGGTTAGTGTGGTTGCCAAAATATTACGTTGCGCTCCTATGAAGGAGTCTGCCTAAAAACCTGACCCGCTTGATGAGCTGCTCACTTGGCCTGTCATCAGACGGCCTTCTTGTCGAGCGGAAAGTTGTCCACTATCAATTGCTTATCAAGCCCCTCTGAAGCGTTACTGTTAGGGTCACTGAATGGAAATACCTAGACAAAGCTCACGAAGAAATTGGCTCGAAAATTGGAGTTTGTGTATGAATCAAGCAATAGGATCCACTCAGATCTGAATAATTCTAAAGCTTTCTATCCACTACATAAAGCGATAGTGCCAAACGAATGACCTCAGAAGAAAAGCCACCAACTATACGCGCTTTTTCGTTCAGCCGTAACCTGCTTTCAGTGCCTAGCTGCCATGTCACCAGAGGGAAGTATGAAGGCTGCGATACTGCCAGGTTGCCCAAGCTAAGACAAGAAGTCGAGATGCAGAGGTCGCGTTCGAACCATGAACCTTCCGGTCGGTAAATTCTTGCTCTAACTACTGAGCAATCTCGTCCATTGGACCAGTATAGCACTACACACTGTTGGTAGTCACTTGTGCCAATTCAGTGAAGGCACGTCGTTCAAGTGTAGCGTATGAACACCAGCTGTCGTGCCACCCGAGGGGAGCGCGAAGGCCGAGAGACTGTCAGGTTGCCGAAGCTTAGACAGGAGCATGGTTCGAACCCAGGACCCTCTGGTTGGTAACTTCATGCCCTAATCACTGAGCTTGTTTGAGCTCAAAGAAAGCATAGCATATTCGAGAAAACGCCATGCGTTCATTTTAGCTTACATGGGCTTTGTATGGAGGTTAGTATAGTCATTCTGGTCACTTCACTCTATTGTCCATTGGGAAATTAGACAAAATTACGTAAAGCAGATGATGCAACCGATAGGGCAGGGAAGAAATCCGGCAAGTGAGCAAGCATGACTAGGGGCCATGCATCATCCTAGCTATGTTCTGACTGACAAACTTGCGTTGAGGCGAGTACTCAGCTTGCTTCGTATTTGTCAACTCAAATCCATTGGACAGAGGATGAAGGATGCCTCACGGGTGCCCCCAGTGACTAAAGATTTCAGTGGGCTTAAATGATTCAACGACCTCTTCATCCTAAATAAGCCCCAGCCGCAATCTCATTCTTTCTGCCAATAAGGTCCTCGGGGTCCCCATTTTGTGCCAGCAGTCGCAATCTTTTAGACTCTCACCCAGAGTCATTGATATTATTTGTGCCCGAACATTGTGCTTCAAGCAGGTGCACTGGCAAGCTACTCTCACAACAAGAAGGACAGATGCGTTTCAGGTGTTATAAAATGATCATTAGGACGGCCTGGTAAGTGCTTTGGTATGGGGGGCATCGTGTGGTACCGTGGTTATACAGTTTTCAGAAACCGCTGTGCAAGCCCACAAGAATTCGTAACAAAAGGATCATTGATGCACATCTAGTGTTCTGCCGTGGGCAACCAAACCGTGTAAACTATGGGATGTGTTCGTTTCGGAGGACTCTGACTTTTTCCAGCCAACATGAAATCGTAGGCGGTAAAGTCTGCACTTCTTGGAGTTCTGTAGTCGCGGGGGACTGAACCTGTCTAGGCTTTATGCATAATTATCAGTCTTCAGCATATTAACAAGAAAGCCATATGCGATTCAACAACCGTAGGTATTGATTCGCCAGTTTCGATGTTGCTGGAGACAGTTGTGAGTAGTCTTTCGATTTTGGACTGAGGTTTATTGCAACTCCAGTCCTCGTAAGATGATACTCTCCGGACGGTGAGTAGAGCTTGTACAGTAAACTACCGCATGAGTTTGGACTTATCACCAACAACGATTGGAACGAACACTAGACAGAAGACTGGATTTTCAGTGACATAATTATGCATAATTATGTTACATAATTATGTGACATAATTATGCAAGATTCCTGGACCTGATGATCACCTTGGATCACGAAACTGTTTCTTTTAAAATGTGTATGAGGGGTGATGAAGACTCGATCGGTTAGTTTGATTTAGCCAGTGAAACTTGCGCAGCCATCTATGCACCGATGACATACCCTTGAATGGTGGCCAAACTTTCCTAGGCCAACTGTCGAGCTTAGAGGACGGATCAACGTCTGTACGCCCAAAAATCGCTTGAAACATATACGCAGAACTCACGTCTAACGTGAAGAGAAACGACCAAACTCATCATATAACCAAAACAACAGCCAAATTGCAGTTAAACTATGAGGTATGGCGTACTAATCACCTGGTATTTTTGTAACAGGTTACCACTTCTGTCAAACAAGGCCGGACGACCCCTTCAAGATCGTACTGTCCAAGGTATCTCATGCCATCGATTGTGGACCATCGGTGCTAGCCTCCAATAGATCCCTCCATAACTGTCTCCAGGAGGAATTACTGTAATGAGTTACGCGAAAAAAACATCCGATAAAAAAGTAAGATACGCTATTCGTTCGGGGTAAACGAAGGAATTTCTAAATGAACTGACTGGCGATTGAATTTTGTTTTTGGCTTCAAGTGATCAAGTCAGGCAGCTGTTATCCGACCGATGCGTTCAACCGATGACATTTGCGATCCACACGCATGCAACATTACTGCTGTGTTTTATGCGTTTGTTCATTGGGTCAGTTACCACGTAACCCGGTAACTAGTCTGTTCAACTGTCAACTCCGATGAGGACACAATCGGGAAAGGCATTGTGTGGCCCAATGACCAGGTGTCAAGTCTATCGCACAAGTTTTCTGACCGCACACTGGTCATAAAGATATCACAGAAGACGGCTGCTCTGACACAAAAACCGCTGGACACATGAAGCGACAGTGCAGAGGGAAACCCATGTACCCAGGCCAGTGACCAACTATATTCATCTCTTTCTACACGGTTTGCTAAGCCCAGCTGCTTACGGACACGCAGACCAAAATCCAGGCCGACGTCACTATGGTTTAAAAAATTAGCCACAGGATCTTTTCAGCAGTTGGAGAAACCAAATATGGATTCAACCGGATTTAACCGGGACGGTTCACACCACCGATTATGTGTTAATACCCTAAAAAATATGGCTGACTTGATTGTCGTTAATGAAGGGGAGACGGAATATATATAGAGAATGTGAAGACGTATTCCATAATCGAATATATTGTCCAGTATCTACTTTTACGACGTAGCTACCAAAGCAATTCAATCGGTTTTATAAGTAGTCTCGTATCGCAGAAACATTACGGGTATAGGGAAGCAGCAAATTCGGTTTACAAATACATAAAACGAGGGATTAATTTCACTCGAATGTGGGACTTATGTTTACGTTGAATTTACCTGTAAATGAGCAGTTCAGTTCTACATATATCCGGTTCCGTGGTGAAGAAGTTTCACCTGCCTTAAAAATAGTATGCTCTCAAGGGTTCGACCTCACCTATGAGCAGCACTTTCAGTGAACTCTAGGGGGGTTGAAATCAATAAGATCCGTCTTCTGAAGTTTCTTTTTTCAATAAAAAATGACCATTTCCGAAATTACCAGATAAAACTGAATTCTTTCTAGCTAAGATTAATATGAGTCTCCGGTTAAACCCAGACTAATGTGTAAATGAGTGTATTTCGCCAATTTTCGTCAATTCGTCTTCCTTAAGGATACAGGGCTTCTTTAACCTTAATCCCTTCTCATTTCTTTCCACTACGAAGAATTCTTCCCTCATGGTTGCATGGCTGTTAGGCTGAAATAATGATGCGACGCATGTCTGCTTAAACATCAAGTTACATAAACCTTGTACTGATACCTGTTGAAGTACCGCTAGCGTTCGCTCTGGTGATAAGCACGCCCGAAATACCGGCACCCATCTAGTGCTGAAAAATAGCGCAATGGTATCCATAGTGTGCCAAGGTTGAACGATGTACACAGTGCAATGGTTGTGAGCAGAAAACGAGCATCACTATCGTCGTCGTCACTCGAGGCTAATCAGCGTTCTCCTTGCAATTAATTTTGTCAAATATTCTATTGAACGCTTGTCGGTGTGAGACACATTCTGATTGTCTCTAGGGCGCAAGACTCAAACTTTTCTCCGAAACATTTTGAAGTCCTTGAGTAGATTCAAAAGCCTTATTCGTATCTGTCCCCAACTAGTGTGGGCTCCTGTGAAACGAAACTGACAATGCGAGTCGATTAGACATGAAAAATTATTCTAACCCCTAAATGGTACAGAAAATCGTTCTGAGCATGTGAACTGAATGCAACTCGTTGAATCGGGTGGCGGAACTGAGCCAATCGCGCAGTTAGCGGCGCTCATGCACCCAAATCGGTAGCTACCCGGATTTCCGAACAAACTGAACATGCCTCCGCCTCCAAGGCTTGGTTGTATACTCCACTTTTCCGTTTTCCGGTGATCGAAACTGTAGCAGCTGGAACCAATGTACCTATGGCACATGGCTTATAGCTGATAAAACCCCTAAATGGTACAGAAAATCGTTCTGAGCATGTGAACTGAATGCAACTCGTTGAATCGGGTGGCGGAACTGAGCCAATCGCGCAGTTAGCGGCGCTCATGCACCCAAATCGGGTAGCTACCCGATTTCCGAACAAACTGAACATGCCTCCGCCTCCAAGGCTTGGTTGTATACTCCACTTTTCCGTTTTCCGGTGATCGAAACTGTAGCAGCTGGAACCAATGTACCTATGGCACATGGCTTATAGCTGATAAATTGATTGTTCGAATTGATTGAATCGGGTGATGAGACTTCAAGAAAGCTAAGGGGAAAGACTGTGCGTCAGTTGACACTATCCGTGCTGTTCTCTTGATGTAAAGTCTGCTAATGCAGGAGTTCAGATCTCCACCTACCCACACTGAGTTCACCGATCCCTTGAGTTGTCACAATTTTTATCTGTTCGATACGCCAAAGATTGAGATAAGTTTGACAGAAACATTTATGTGCATGTTTAAAACCAAGCAGGTGGACCATTCATCAAGGAGCTATCAAGTACTTGTGATAACGAAAGGTTCGCACAATCTGTTGAAGACGATTGAGGCTACTGGGTGAAAACGCCTGGTAGTCCTGAGAGAAAACCCTATTTCAGACTAGGTCACTTTATTCCTTATGTTGAGTTTGAAACAGATTGCAGCTCAAACGCATGCGGTTTACTAGACAATTGCATAAGGGCCTACAAACGGAAGTTGTATCCGGACTCACAATGATGCAGGTGAACTGGAGAGGTCAGTTCACCTATAGCCTATATCTGCACGCAGGAATAGTTTTCCTATTGTATGGAACACTTGACTGAATAACGCCTACACTCGTACCCCGATCCAGCACTGGTTAGTCTCACCTCCAGTGGGAACGCGTCGGAGCTTTCCTTTTCGATAAGTCAAACCAAAACTACTGATTCAAAGTTGTCTCAAGGAGCAGGTAGAAAATAACTAAACTTCAGAATGCATGCAGTAGCAGAATATTCGGTACCAGTTCTTTGACTCACCTGTACTTGAGAGATTTTGTAACCACGACGCAGTTGCGGGGACTTAGTCCGGTGTGTTGCTCTCACATGCACTGATGCGCACCGATGTTGGACAAGTTGTTGACAGCATGGCTGTTCTCATTTCATTTATCCTCCCAATTCGTACGACAACTTGACACCTCGTTGCTATTGGCTCTCTCGCTCGTCCGCTGGCAGTCGGCTTACTGTCACTCACCCCTGCAATACACGTGATGGAGAAATGCTCATGAGCTGTCAGGTGAGCAGCCGTTCCTGCGTGTGTGTCTATGTGCGTGTACACATACACCTAAGATGGCGGGTGAGATTTGACGCGCCCACTTGACTTTGGGTCACAGACTGCGCGCAACCGGACAGGAGGTGTGTGCATGTAACCATGCTTTCACTGGCTCAGATTTCGAACACAGCCAATCGGCGCGAAATGTGTGGCCGTGCGGGAAGTGTTGAGCATGTGGCTTGCGTTTGGACGACATGCAGACAGTCAGTGTGCGTGTGTGTGTGGCTTAAAGACTCAAAATTGGGGGTCAGGATTAGGGGTGAGGAGCAACTTAACAATTCATTGTAACCTATCTCGTGATACCCTTGGACTCCGTCCAGTGGTATACCAAACTGAACCGTTGCTTCATCGGAAATGCGGCTGGCAAGAAAACAGCGTCAGCTGATGCAGATGGTCGGGTTTTATCACGAGAATTTCCTTTCTGCTCGGAACAGCAGAGGACCTGTTTAATATAAGCTAAAAGTCATTCTGAAAACTTCATCAGTCGCCATGTGATATGCGCCGATGGGAAGATGGAAAAGATGATTGGGGTGGCACCTACAGATGTGTTTCAAAACCCCAAAAGTCCGTCCAAGTTAGGCGTAAGAATAACTAGTCAAATAAACTGCTGAGTTCCTAGAATTTGTTTTAGGTCGCACACTAGTTCCCTTCTACAAGGATCACCTCTTAATAATGGCCGTTATTGGTCGTTCGCCTGAGATATCGGTTGGAACATGGGAAGATTTCTTCACTTTATGTAACAACGCGTACATTAGACCAATCTCACCTGAAATTAAACTGCGAACTTAAGATATGTACAGGATGAGTTTGGATCCATGGACGGGTGTTACGGTAAAGCATTTTCTAAGGCTTCCACCATTCTGCCTGATCCCCTTAGCGATCATTTCAGAAACGTTTTGTGCGTGCTTGTTAATTATTTAAGATGAGAGAGACGGTGTAGTGATCATGTGGCCAAAGTGGCGTTCAGTGTTGCAAAGGCTCTGGTTGTCACTCACTCCTGCAATACATCTGTTCCAAGGTTGTTTGTACGGAGAATTTACGATGTTTTTATCCTATTATCTACTACTTGCACAAAGATCAAGTAGCAATATACTACTTCGACGGAAATTTGTCGCGAATTTAAACTTCCGTTCAGTGGACGTCCAAAAAGCGGATAGCCCCACCAGCTCATTAGAGTTACTGAAGAATTCTGCCGGGACCCACCAAATATGTCAATTCAGAGTGAAGTCGCTGTTGGGGGATGCAGCAGACAAAGAGTTTATTCCCTTTATATGGACCTCGCAGACTATCCATGAAGTTTGTGAAAACCTTTCAACAGTCCACGACTGGTTTCACCCCTCTTGGGGCTCGTCAGGTGGGCGCAGCTCCTGAGTTTCCCTCGGCCTTATGTTCCGAGTGAATCCAAGCTGAGGGACGTCGCTGGAACTCAGGTGAGTCTTCAGTGAAAGCCCAATTGGTATACAAATGGTATACTATATCCTTCGACCTTCTTGTAGTATTCACGGAAGGAAGGATATATAGGGTTCCAAACAACTATTCGAGGGTGAGGTGTGCTGAGCTGTGATCCCTGCAAAGTTAAGTTCTCCCGCTCCATGCCACGAAGCGGCCGGAATGAAGCGATCACGTGTGCTATCTCAGATCAAAAGCTCCAGATTACACAAATGTTCTTCAGCCAGCGAGCTGAACGGATTTTCTTGCCCTTGAGGGACAGCACATATAAAGTACATGGTCCATACCGATTTTTGTTATCCTTTCATCTATCGAATCGACGATTACTCAGCACACGTTTCGTGTCTTTAATGCCATAAAGGCACTTGAAAACAATGAGTTATCGCGACGGTCGTCCAGGTCCACAGTATATCACGCAGTCGGTTTTGCATGCACCTGCGTCCTTCTATTCTGGTTTCTGTCAACCTGCTCACACCAGCCACGTGAGCAGATGGCATTGCTCATTACGCATTACTGGTTGTTGCTCTGTTTTGCCCACATGATGCATGATGTGTTAGGCTTCGTCCAACTGGTTCTTGATTACTTTCTGAAAGGTTATTGAGTCAGTAGCGGCATTCGCAATCCTGGTTACTGTTATAACAAAAGGTTGGAGGGAGGTGTTGTGGTAGTTAGCAGAAAACAGACTTCTAAGACCGATTAAACTAATCCGAGCTGTTAACGTTTCGCAGTATTCGTCTACTTTCCGTTTTGGTGGAACTGGTCAAATAGACTCAATATTTCATTGACTTGAGTTCTTGATCGATTGTTGGCTCTTTTGTACGAACTGACGGTTGAACAGCCGCGCCTTTGATTTTATGAGCACCTTTTACGCTCAAAGACAGTTCCAAGCACAATCTAAATGAAGGAAAGCTTCAACACCCGGGAAGTCGGATCCCCATGCCCCCCCCCATTACTGAGACTCCTCGCGTGTGTTTAAACCAATTTGTTGAAAGTTGAGGATTGTATGATGGCTTACTGAACAGCTGGTCCTTCGACTGCGGTACCTAGACTTCTGCAGCAGATCCTCCAACTGGAAAGGTTTATTCCACTGCACTGGTGCACAAACTTGGCTCATTGTCATTCACGAAAGCATAATTGGAGGTTTCGACGTTGGGGTTGCAGTTTAAAACTATCACAAAACAAAGTGGGCAAACTGCAAACGCAGATGAAATTTGAGAACCCACACAACCATGGGTGGGACTTCTTCGCCAGGTTGGTTTAAAACGTAATCAGTTAAAATGTCAGATGAGTGTTCGTCTGTCGTTATGAGACGCTGTTGTTTCATGCCTGAGTACCAGCGGATAGCTTTGATGGATGAGTAACCTGAGGTTTTTTGCAGCAGGACAAACGTCATGACCAAAAAGTGCCATATCGAAAATTTGAGGATGAGCTAAAAGTTACGAAAGACACCAATTATGGGAAGAAGGCTTTGATAGAGAAGCAGGTGACCAATAATCGTCAGGTGCTTAAAATTCGTGGCGTTTCGTCTGACTAAAGATGCCAACACATAACATCACCAGTGATGTTTCACCGAATTCCGCAGACCAACTACACCTCCAGGTTTGTGGAAATGGATCCGCCCGCTGGCTGGCGGACATTTTGGTTCCAAGTCAGAAAATTTTTCTCTCCACAGTTTTTTTTTAATTGCTGAACGATTTCTTATCTACTAATGTCACATGGGTAAACTGGTAACTACTCATAGAGTTTAAGTAGGCCAGCCAGTGGAATTATCCACACACCTTGCGCTGTTCTGTGCTATTTCGATTTTAAAAGGATCGCTTGCAGATGTATGTTGAGTCCACTAGGTCCGTACCTAGCTGACTCTTTTTCTAGGAAATCTAATGGGCAGGTCCGTAACAACAAACACTCTTTACGACTGTACAGTGCTCCATATCTGAGACTACCAGGAGTAAATCAGAATGCTGAATTCCCACGCCAACATTCTTTTGCAACAAATCGCTCAAGCTGTTCTTCACGCTCTAGCTACGAAGAAGTGCTGTGCTACTCCAAACCCTTGAGAAGGGAAAAAAGTTGACTACCATGTATATATTTGTAATGCACTACTCTTAAGGTTGCTGAAAACTTCTCGAAAGCCCACGATCGGTTTCACCCTTCTTGGGGCTCATCAGGTAGGCGCAGTCTCCGAGTTTCCGTCAACCATATGTTCTACTTGAACCCAAATTGAA